CGATTTCCTAATATCTTAACCGCCTCTCATAGTCTCATAGAGAAAATTACACTTTTGGTCCTATGACTATAGTGGAGGTGGTAATTCCAGTTCGTGACTTTTAAAACTAACAGATTTAGTCCTTTTAGTAAGTTTTTTTACACATTAAGTCCTTCCGGCCAAATCACCGGTGGATTTTGGTCGGAAAAATACAATCCCTTAATTTATTAAATATTTGGGGGGTAAAATGGTCAATTCAGATTCTTCTTTCTTCTTCCTTCTTCTTCCTTCTCCTTCCTACTTCTTCGTTCTTCTTCTTCCTTCTTGTATTTGGGGGGTAAAATGCACTAATGTTTCAAGTATGAAATTCAATCTGGTGTTCTTCGACGGTGGGGGCTACAGTTTCAATCTGGATTCTGGAGGACCAAAATAAAAATCTATTTAGTTAATTTGATGATGCATGGAATAACATTAACAACCTCAAATTATCAATTGTTAACCGTAAACTAAAAGTTCAAGAATAAATTCTCTTTTTTTTTTTTTTGGTGTGTGTTTGTTTTTGTAGTCAAGAAAGGAATATTTTCGGGTTTTACGATCTGGGTTTCGTGGGGTTTATTTTTGCTGCTCGTCGGCGGCGGTTAAGTATTTGCCGAAGCAGCTCTTCAGGCGGATCACGAAGTGCGCAGCCTCGACGAATTCGACAGTCCATTTCGCGGCCTTGGAGTCGCGGTGGCGGCAGTCCTGGATAACCGATTCCTCGTTGCGATCGGCTAGGAGGTATTTTTCGTGGTGGCTTTTTAGCCGCAATCTGAATATAAGGAGATCGGAGATATTAACGGTGTCGGCTACAACCACCGGAAAATACGTGTGAATAATCGCGTTTTCCCCTTTTTTTCTCAAACATAAATGGACTATTTTACCCCCCCCCCCCCCCCCCCCCCCCAACTCCAAATATTTAATAAACAAAGAATTGTGTTTTTCCGGCCAAAATCCACCGGTGATTTGGCCGGAAGGACTTAATGTGTAAAAAAAAGCTTACTAAAAGGACTAAATCTGTTAGTTTTAAATGTCACGAACTGAAATTACCACTATTAGGACTCTATGTATATGAGTCTGTTTAGAACTTCTTATCCTTGTCACACTGTGACTCTCTACTTCTTATCATTGTCACACTGTGACTCTCTATTCTATATATTCACATCATCTGATCTCATTGTAATCAAGTTCAGAAAATATAATACAATCAGTTCTCATCTGGTATCAGTTAGCTAGGGTTTTGTGATTCATAAAATTAAGAAGATGCAGCGCTGCGATGGCAACCTTAATTACCGTGGAGGTCAGCAACGTGGCTTCGATGATCCGTGTCAAATCTGTAAAGGTTTCGGCCACACAGGAGTCAATTGTTTTTGGCGTTATGATGATCCGTGTCAAATTTGTAAACGTTTTGGTCACACGGGAGCCAATTGTTTTTGGCACTATGATGATCCGTGTCAAATTTGTAAACGTTTTGGTCACACGGGAGCCAATTGTTTTTGGCGCTATAATGATCCGTGTCAAATTTGCAAAAGTTTCGGTCACACGGGAGTCAACTGTTTTCGGCGATATTCAGGGGCTCCGGGTTCTCAGGCTAATTTGGTGTTTCAGAATGGTTTAGTTGCTAAAACCTCGTCAAATTCTCATACTTGGGTTCCGGACACTGGAGCCACAAATCATGCAACTCCGAACATCGCTGCCCTTTCTACATCGGAGAAGTACACTGGTAATGACACTTTACGTGTCGGTGACGGTATGGGTTTATCTATTAGTCATGTTGGCCATGCCTCTTTTAATACCCCTTCTAGATCATTTACATTGTCTGATATACTTCACGTTCCGCGTTTGTCTAATTCTTTATTATCTGTTCAGAAGTTTGCATCCGATAATAAAGTCTTTTTTGAGTTTCACCCCTCCTTTTTTGTTGTAAAAGATATCAATACCAAGGAAATACTTCTTCGGGGCAATAGTTCGGGGGGACTATACACACTTTCATTACCTAGTTCGTCTCCGTCAGCGTTTATTTCCGCTCGTGCCTCGGCTTCCACTTGGCACAATCGTCTAGGTCATCCTCATAACCGTGTTCTTAGCCATATACTTCGTTCTTGTTTGGTTAGTGGGTCTCGTGATAATATTCGTTGTCATAATTCTTTATGCAATGCGTGTCAATTAGGCAAATCTGCCCGTTTTCCCCTCCCCCGTGTTGCTTCCTCTAGTTCTCAAGTCCTAGATCTTATTTACACAGACATTTGGGGTCCTGCGCCCACTTTATCTACTTCTGGCTTCCGTTATTTTGTGATCTTTGTGGATGACTATTCCCGTTATACATGGTTCTTTCCTATGAAATTAAAGTCTGATCTTTATGTCATCTTTGATAAATTTCGTACTCTTGTTGAACGGTCCTTTAATTGCAAAATAAAGGCCATTCAGTCTGATTTAGGTGCTGAGTACAAAAAGTTGCATTCTTTGTTTGTTCAATTAGGAATTCAACATAGACAATCCTGTGCCTATACACATGAACAGAATGGTCGTGTTGAACGAAAACATCGTCACATTGTTGAAACTGGTCTGGCTCTTCTAGCTCATGCCTCTGTTCCTTTGAAATTTTGGGATTTTGCCTTTGAGACTGCTGTCTATTTAATTAACAGAATGCCATCTTCTGTATTAAATAACTCCAGTCCTCATCTCCTGTTACATAAATCCCCTCATTCCTATCTTTTTCTTCGTGTCTTTGGGTGTTTATGTTACCCTCATCTTCGACCATATAATCGTCATAAGATGTCATACAGGTCTTCTCCATGTGTCTTCCTAGGTTATCCTGAGTCCTTTAGGGGGTACAGATGCATGGACTTACATACTAATAAGATTTACACATGCAGGCATGTCAGATTTGATGAAGAAGTTTTCCCCTTTGCTACTAAAACTTCTTTGCAGGATCTATCTACTCCGTTTTATGGACCTTGGGTGGAATCTGTTCTCAGTCACAGCACACCTATTCCTGCCGTGTCCAATGATGAGCTGCCAGAATCGCCGCTACCTGCTTCATTCGAACCAGCCGTGGATCCTGGACAGGCTGCCTCGTCGGGTGATCCTGTGGAGCCTGTTGCTCGCCGGCGAGGCCGTCCACGTGGGCGGTCCATCAGGCCCAATGTCCGTACTCACTCTATGGCCACTCGCAGCAACGCAGATGCTCCTGTTTTTGCTCTAGCAGCTCAAGTGCATCCCACGGAACCCACATGTTACTCTCAAGCTGTCAAATATCCTGAGTGGCGTGAAGCCATGGACCAAGAATTCAATGCTCTCCTGCATAACCACACATGGTCTCTAGTTCCACCCACTGCAGGTATGAATATTATTGGCTGTAAATGGGTGTTTCGTACGAAAAGAAAGGCTGATGGTGCTATTGAAAGGCATAAAGCCAGGCTGGTTGCGAAAGGTTTTAATCAGGTTCCAGGTCAGGACTTCTTCGACACTTTTAGTCCAGTGGTAAAGCCTACGACTGTAAGACTCCTTCTATCTCTAGCTTTATCATCTGGGTGGTCTATCAAACAGCTAGATGTTCATAATGCTTTTCTGAATGGTAATCTGGCTGAAACAGTTTATATGAAGCAACCCCCTGGTTATATTGATGCTAACTTCCCGAATCATGTTTGTTTGTTAAAAAGATCTCTGTATGGGTTAAAACAAGCTCCCAGAGCTTGGTTTAATCGACTACATACGTTCTTACTATCGGTTGGCTTTCAAGCATCCAAGACAGATGTCTCTCTGTTCTATTACTCTAAAGACTCTGCTTTGGTTTATCTATTGGTGTACGTGGATGACATTCTTGTAATGGGAAGTGATCAAGGTATTATGTCTCAGCTCTTGTCCAAACTGTCTGCTACATTCAAAATCAGAGATCTTGGTGAACCAAATTTTTTTCTGGGTATTGAAACAGTTAAGAGTGACAATGAGATTATTTTATCTCAACAACGGTATATGAATGATATTTTAAAACGGGCTGGAATGTCTGAATGCAAACCCCTTTCTACACCTATCTCTGTCTCGAAAACTGTCCCCTTCAATTCAGATCTATATGATGATCCCACACAGTACAGGAGTCTAGCTGGAGCACTGCAATATCTCACTGTCACACGACCTGACCTATCCTTTGCAGTTAATCAGTTATGCCAGCATATGCATGCCCCCACCATATCACACTGGGAGCAGCTCAAACGGGTACTCAGGTATGTTAAGGGAACAGTTGATCATGGTTTACACATACGACGGTGCTCATCTAGAGACATTCATGCTTTCTCTGATTCTGATTGGGCTGGTTGTCCTGACGATCGAAAATCCACGAGTGGTTTTGCTGTTTTCTTGGGGAGTAATCTTATATCGTGGGTTTGCAAGAAACAGAGAACTGTTGCCAGGTCATCCACTGAGGCTGAATACAAAGCTCTTGCAGATGTTTGTGCTGAGGTTCTATGGATTATGTCATTATTGCGTGAGATACAGATTCCGGGTATTTCCATTCCAAAATTATGGTGTGATAATCTAGGAGCTACATATATGAGTGTCAATCCAATCTTTCATGCGCGCACCAAGCATGTGGAGATTGATTATCATTTTGTTCGTGATCGAGTAGCTTCGGGCGATATCCAAGTCAACTTCATCTCCACAAAGGATCAACTTGCTGATATCTTCACCAAAGCTCTACCTGGACCTAGATTTTCTTCCTTAAGGGACAAGCTACAGGTTACTAGTATACACTGTGCTTGAGGGGGAGTATTAGGACTCTATGTATATGAGTCTGTTTAGAATTTATTATCCTTGTCACACTGTGACTCTCTACTTCTTATCATTGTCACACTGTGACTCTCTATCTATATATTCACATCATCTGATCTCATTGTAATCAAGTTCAGAAAATATAATACAATCAGTTCTCATCACCACCTCCACTATAGTCATAGTGCCAAAAGTGTAATTTTCTCTAGTCTCAGGCTCTTCCTCATCAAATCCCCGCCTCAAATATTTGTCGCTTTCACGATCTGCAGCTATCTACCTTTCCTGCCATTTTCTAGTTTCTACTCTACGAAGCTTCTCTTTCACGTCTTCTTCAAATCCCAAAACCTAACCCTAAATTTCACTTGAATCTCCCCTCACGAGCACAAATACAACCAACGTTTACAGGTATGTTTTACCAAGCCTTCGATTGATTGCAAAGTTTCCTGGATTTTAGTTTCTCTCTGCATTCTCTAGTTCCCTAGGTACGGAGTAGTTGTTCGTATACATCTGTACCAATATGTTGTTATTGCATTAAGATGACGGATGACGGATGACGGATGACGGATGTATTATGTCCTGTGATTTTTTGGAGCTTTTTTTCGTGGTTTCGAAACCCTAGGTTTTGCAATTATTGATAATTGTTTTTTTTCTTCATATGAAGCACTGAACTCTTTTATTTTATAAATAATTAAAATTTTGATTTGTTATCCCATGATTTCCCCTATAGGATCCAAGCTTAGCTCTGCGGCTATAGGTATTATATTGTTGTGTTTTATTTGGAGCCTTTTTTTACGGAGTAATTTTTTTTTTTTTTTTTGTATGGCAACTCTAAAAGGTTGAGCTCCATATTTTTATGGTAAGCTGAAGACTGAAGCTGCTTGTTGTAGACGTCATTTGGATTTTGTCTGTTATATTTGTCCATAGACTCATTATATTTTGAAGAAAAATATCAGTCAATTATTTTAGGATATTTGTAATACTTCTTTAATATGAAGAAATAGTTGCATATTTGAATTGTGTGTGCTAGTTTAAATACATTTTATAGGTGAATTCCGAATATAATTCTTCTCTACTAGGTATAAATGCATGCATCTAGTTACTGTTTTAGTTCATTTACACCTGTTTATTCTCATATTTGATAAAGCAATACTTTGTCTTGTTAGACTTTTATGACTCCCTGATCGCTGAACTTCCATAGTGATATCTTATGAACCATTTCTTTCCCCTGCAGATGGCTACCAAACCACTAACTAGTGAGGCAATTGCACTAACGGAGAAGAAAATGGAAATGACACTAGGTATGCATATTTGTATAGTTACTTCCCCATTCATTTGCTTTTGTCTTCCTATTCTCTTGCATTTGCCTGACTTCTGTTGTTGCAGATGACATTATCAAAATGTCCAAGAATAATTCAAACAAGTCTAAGAGGAAAAGAGTTTCGGTACGTGCATTTTTTGGGGTTCTCTTATGCTTTTCAAGATCCAGCTGTTAAACATTTTCTCCTTTTTCATGCTTGCAGAATAGAAGCCAAAAAACTTTTAATAATGCTGCTCAAGATAAATCTGCAAAGATTCGGAAGTTCATGGACACAAGGTCCTCTCTTAGACAGGTATGTTAATGAAATGGAGTAATTTGTGTTGTGGTCTATGTTTGATCAGAAGATGACATAATCTTTTGAGTTTGAATATACTGATTTTGATGATTTCTTTTGTTCATCCTGTTAGGGGGCTCTTGCTCAGAGGAGATCAAGTTTTCAGGGAAATCAGTTTCCTTTGGCAACTGAAGCAGCTAAAAAAGCTGCCACTGCTCCTATTCGCAGTAGAGCCTTCAGCAGAAACAGGAATGGCAATATGAATAAAAAGAGGTGTGTTTTACATGCCTTATCAATGTGTAGCATGCACTATAAGAATACTGTAATATGATGTGGATTATTCACCTGGCTGCTGTTGAGTTGAAGTGAATTCCTTATCTGGTGTAGGTAAAATGTGGTTCTCTATTGTCTCAGCTTATTCTATTAAGGGAGCTTTTGATTGGTTTAGGCGTAAAATGGAAGATGCAATTTGTGAAGTTTGTTTAACCATTTACTGTTGACTACATTCATATGAAGATGGATACATTTTCTACAAAATTGATTAAGCCTTAACTTGTTTAAGATGGAACTTGGTGGTGTCAATTACTTATTAGAAGCATAATGTTTGGGCCTTCTGAGGTGTGTTTAGATTGTTGTTGAAGCTCTACTAATTTGATTGGCATTGGATTACACCAAATAGGGTGCAGATATTTGTTTAATGAAAATTGAAGGTTCCTATGGGAGTTGACATGAAAGAAGAAGACTTACCATCACCATGCATTTCCTGGGAACTTGGAGTTCCCCTTTTGCAAGAAAAAGGACAGATTTTGAACTGCCACAGATAGTTGTGGTTGAAAAAATGTCATTATTAAGTTTGGGGTTGATATGTGAAACATTTCTCAGGATTTTCATGTGGATTTCTTATTGGGCTATTGCTTCTTGTTAGGGCATAACTTATGGAATTAACACCGTCAATCACCGTGTAATTGCATTTCATGTAGTATTTCATTTCTGCAACCACTCTGCTGGCCAGAAATGTGGGATGGAATAAAGCATGAAGCACATGCCCACAGGTTGTATGGGATGTGCTCTCTTCAGACTTTCAAGAATACAAACAGTCCTGTCTAGTTCAAATTTTCTTCTCTGACCTTAAATATGCTTTCGATATTTTTGGTTCAAGTAGTAAAGGGGTTAGAAGTGTTGAAAATTTTCTGCATCTGAGAGTATGCTGGATGGTCATACCCAAAATATATCAGAAGCCAGAGGAGATGGCATGTGCTGCTTCTTGTGTGATATCATGGGGTTGTACCAATTAAAAGGAGGGAAAAAAATATTGGTGGGGGTGATGTAGTGTGTTTTGACTTTAGTGTTGGGTAGCATAATCACTTCCTAGCATCCTGCCTTGCTAATGATGCTTCGAGAGGGGATTTAGTCTTGTATTCACTTTTGAGCATTGTGCAAAGTTCCACAGAGATTGCTTTCCACATTCTTGGATCCATAAAATTTTCTTCCCCCAACGGAGGAGTTCAGATCATGTGTTACATTGTCACGAGGCTTCTGTGCTTGGGCTCCTCTCATTCATTACATGGTTGTGCGTTCAATGCCATGCTCTGCATATCCCTGTTGTAAGTTATTCCTGATGATTCCTTCCTGTGCTCCAATTGTTGTTTACTGTTTGTAGGCTTGCTGCTCCACTGGTTCAGAGGAATGTTGCAAATGGAGGTGGCTTCAGTGTTAAGGTACATGCACCTATGTACATATTAATCAATCTTGGATGAATTAGTATATGTTCACTATTACAAGTATGTTGTACATTTCGAGTCCTGAAAACACGTTCAGACTGTAGGCACGGAATGGCACGCCTTTCTTTTAGGTTTCTAGGCTGCTGAATTTTTCTCAGAACTCATAATATACTTAAGAGTGTCATCTTTGCACAGCAGCAGCAGCAGGAAATCAAGTTTATGTCACAACAAAAGCCTCAGACATTGGATTCACTGTTTGCAAATATGAAGGAACAAAGGATGAAGACCTCTCAACAGACAAATGGTGCAAGAAAAAATGGACGTAGCCAGCATCAGGCGCCATGGATAAGAGGCCGTTTTGGCAATTGATAGAGATACTAAACTACCGACGGGGAGTGAGAAGGGGGACAGTAGTGTCCTTTACAAGTAGTTCTGAGACTTTGGTTGCCTTGAACAATGAATGATAATTGTGGCTTGCTGCTTTGTAGTTTCTGGTGACCCCAATTGATATCTTTCCCTTGCAATGAATGTATAGAATATACTTACTATTTTTATATCTGTATTTTAATTATCTGTGGATAAGCCAACTTTCGATTTGCTAGCATAGCTTAACTTTTGCCTCTCTATGAATCCTTGAGTATATGACCAATACTAAACATATACGGAAATTGGAAGGGTAAAAAGCTCGACTTTGAAAAATATTGGTTATGGTGAAGTATAGGTTGTGAGTTGTTGGATGTCTCTCAGTTTGGACACAATTCGCGGAGCATATTTAGGCAAAAGCAACAAAGCTAACCAAATACAAATAACTATCAAGAAAATGCTAAAACAAAAAGGTACAAGAAAGCACATGGGAAAACAATCATGACTCAAAAGGAAATAATAAAGCCGGATACATATATAGCAAAAAGTATTTGATATGTGCAATAGTGCAAATCCTAATAGTAGTAATCATAAGTTCATAACGTCTAGAACAGAACATTGTCATAAAAAATGAGATAATCCCTTGCTTTCCAAAGCAATGGGGTTGTTGCTTTTTTTTTTTTTTTTTTCTTGATAATCTGGGGGGGTTGTTGTTTTTTTTTTTTTTTTTTTTTTTGATAATCTGGGGTTGTTGCTTTGTTGTGTACTAATGCTCCTCAGTATTCCTTCTTGATCCATTTAATAGATTTAGAAAGAGTTGTCATGCTCTTAGAAACTTGAAGCCAACGTTGCATAAATATAATGACCAAGCATTGTTTGAGAATTGTCACTTGAACGTACAAAAGGTAATAAGAGAATGTTTATGTAAAAAGCGCAAAATTATAGTAAGTCAAGTTGTCCTTAGTATACATATTATTGCTTTTAAGTTGAACCACAAAACAAATGAGAATTAGGGAGGGATATAAACCTCCAAATAGATGAGCATTTGCCCCTTTTCGGAGCTCATGATTAACTTTGGAAAAGTTAACATTCTCAACCAATAATCACATAGTGAGACATTAACGTGCTGTTGTTTGCTGTCCAAACTATAAGGGAATCTTGGGTGGCAATCAAATTTTGAATAATGATTGGTCCCTAAACTGTGTACTCCAGTCCCACATCGATTGCCCCATGAAGGAAATTTCATGAACCCACCAAATTCTTTAATAAAGCTAAATATTTAATATTGGAGAAAGTATTCATACGGGGGTGTAGCTCATATGGTAGAGCGCTCGCTTCGCATGCGAGAGGCACGGGGTTCGATTCCCCGCACCTCCATGTTTATGCATTTTTGTTGTGAAGTGTCCGGCGCTCTTATTCAACTTTATTTATTGTAGGAGATTCTCTTCCATTGTTTGCCTAACAATTATAATAAATTTATTGATTAAAGCATAATTAGAAACAATCCAAATTCCCACCCTTTTAAACTACTCTGTAATAAACTATAACTCTATAATCATTCTTATAATTCATCTTAAATTTTTAATGTATAATACTTTTATCATAAATTTATTGATTAAAGCATAATTAGAAACAATCCAAATTCCCACCCTTTTAAACTACTCTGTAATAAACTATAACTCTATAATCGTTCTTATAATTCATCTTCAATTTTTAATGTGTTTATTATGTCATATGATGATATAAAGTTTATTTATAATGGAATAATAAATGGAGCTTCATTGAAGTTGAAGCTCCAGTTTCCCTTCATTCTTTATTAATCCACCTTTCTGAGCAAATTCTAAATATAGGAGACACATTTAAACTTATACCATAAGGCCGAGTTAAAGGGCAAAGAGTCGATCAGATTAATTTTTTCGTACATGAAGAGGTTCGAAGTCTTGACCTCCCTTAAATAGGGACGGAGCAAAAGGGCAGGCATCTGTCCCCCCACACCACACCCCCACCCACACCCCCACCCCCACCCCATATATAATCTTTATATGTATATATGTACTAGTTTTTTACGCGCATTGCGCGATTGGATAATGCCCAATGTTTTTTTTTTTTAAATAAGTACTTTAAAGTATATTAAGGCAAGATTATATTGAAATTGTTCATGCATAGATAATTGAAGGTTGAATTTGCGTATTTAAATAGGTAATTCTTCTCCCAAAGGTTGAGTCCCCAACCCCAAGGGCCCCCCACGCTCCGACCCGACAGAGCATTGTGGGAAGTTGTAAATAAATCACGGTGACTCAACGAACAAGGAATCTGCCCACTTTGGACATAATTCCCGCACTGCCGCCGCCGAGGTTCAAACCTTGGTCTCTTCTCCCAAATACTGCCCACTAAACCATTGAGCTAAGCCCGTGTGGGTTAAATAGGTAATTCTAAGTTTACAAATGCAAGATAATATAGTCAAGATTGATTATAATTGTCAATAAAATAACTGTATAGGTATGGTTGAAACCAAATACGGGACATAAGGGAGAACAAATAAAAATTAGGGCATAAAATATTAAATATATACTAATATTGTTTGAGGAGATTTCGACATTAGGATTTGTGGTTAAGTTCTATTAAGACTTTAATATTATAATTAGATTAATGGTGTAATTATAATTCTATATTAGACGTTAATATTAGAATTAGACTAACGGTGAATTAACGGAAAAGTTAAATGGATAATCATATAATTAAGGATAAATTAGAAAAACTTTAAAAAAAAATTAAAACTTGAACAATTTGAACCATTCATTTGATTTAATAATTTGGCGGTCATTTTTTCTACCCAATGTTACTAATTAAATAAATTCGTTGGTCAAATCCGCTAATATAATCCGCTAACTGCTGATTGTCAAACAAGGACATTGCAAGGTAGTTCTCACTTCAATTTGTTGTGTGATTTGAATACTCTCTGATCTTTGTCACAAAATCTCTCAAGTAGTTAATATGGTTGGCTTTATTAATTATATATATTTTTTTAATTTTTTTATGGTATTAATAAAATACTTGGTAAATAAATATATAGCATTATTTTGTATTATAACTTTGATATTTAATTAGAAAAATAGTGCACAAAAAAGATAATAGACAATGTAGTGAATATAATCAATTGATGAATTTGAATGTAAAATTTTTTACATTTGAGAAAAATAAAGACAATATAACTAATGAAAATATTTCTCTTAATTAATTTATTGATAATGAATAATTTTTTTTCACTGAATTAAGACATTGTAAGGACAATGTAGCGAATATAATCAATTAATAAATTTGAATATAAAGAATTTTTATACTGTAGAAAAATAAAGACAATATAACTAATACAATTATTTCTCTTATTTAATTTATTGATTATTGATAATAAATAATTTTTTTTTGAATAAAGGCATTGTGGACACATAATTCTAAATTAAAGAAATGCATATCTATAATTTTTTTGTTGTAGCTACTAAATTATTATTTATATAATTTAATAAGAGTAAAATAGAGTACTAATTATGCCAACTTTGATTGGGATGAGGTTTGAACCTAAGACCTTTTTTTTTTATTGAAATCAATGAGTAAGTTAACGGTGAACTAACGGCAATTCTTAAAATTTTAACGGAATTAGTAACAGTGTGTGGGTATTTTAGGAAATTTTAGTGTAAAATTTAAATCTTATCAATCTTTTAATCAATCTGAGCCATTCATTTGATTAAAATCTGTGACCGCCATTTTTTCTACCCATTATAGGCCTAACTCTCTTGGGCTCTTATTAGTATATAGATATATAGTATATGTTTTAATATTAGTATAAAAAAAACTAGTAAATGTCAACAACTAGGGAGTTAGATTAGTTGGTAAGGCATGTGTTTGTTAATAAGAAAGGTTTTGGGTTCAAATCCTTGCAATTAACATAGTTTTACATATTTTTGAGTCCTCCTATGACTTCAACACAATCACTTTTTTAATATTTAATATGTGTAATTTATAATGTGTTTTCTATTCAAATTATTTTATCAAATTAATTATGTTTTATATATTGTTATGAATATTTTTATAAAGTTTCGATGTGTTTTATTTTTTGCACATATCCAACGATATTTACAACTATATTTCTTAAGTAATGGTTATAAAAAAAAAAAAAAAAAATCTTAAGTAATTTATTTTTTTTGAATTATCTCTTTTGTTTTAATGTTTCGCTTTTACTGAAAAAAATTTTTGAATCCGTCCTACTTCTTCGCTCTCCCTCAATTCAATTTCTAGCTCCGTCCATGCCCTTAAAAGATGAGAGTGCACGATCACTCACACCAACCAAACTAGTTCAATCTCTATACTTTAATCATGCCTTAATTACATCCTAATGCCCATTGTTAGAATAGTTGGTTAATCTAATTATTTGTAACTTATTTGTGGGTGTTTTCAGTATACATAAACAATTTTATTATTGATGTGTGTAAGCAACCTTAGAGTGGAGAAGCAATGGATGCCTCACTCAATAAAATCCAATACGTACTGTTGAAATTAACTCAAAATATAAGGGTTCAATACACCCTCAATTTTGTTCAAAAATTACAATTAAGTCATAATTTTTTTAAAGTCTTAAATAGACCTTTTAAGTTGAAAAATAGTGCAATTCACCTCGTTTTGCATCCTATAGCAAGTAACCATTAAGTAAATACTAAGTGGTGTGTCCCTTCATGTTTTCTTTTTGAATGCTACAAGCTCTATTACATTGTAATATCTGTTCATATATTTTCGCAACCTATTGAAACACAAAGAGTCAATAACACCTCCACTAAAGGCTCGAACTTACAACCTTCTAAATGGAAGTCCAACCCGGATACCATTAGACCACATAGTCCTGATCATGTTTTCTTCTTGATAATAATAATAATAATAATAATAATAATAATAATAATAATAATAATAATAATAATAATAATAAATAAATAAATAAATAAATATTTTTTTTAGAACACATGATTCTTTACTAGGTAATATATATTATATACTTTTCAATGCTTCCATTATGGAGACGGTCCTGTGATCAATCATTTGAAATGGTAACAGATTTGTCATCATATTATTATTATTATTATTATTATTATTATTATTATTATTATTATTATTATTATTACTTGGCATCCAAACCAAGAAGAACAAATTAAGTGGCATCCAACAGGTATGTGTGTCACTGAAAGTTGTAATTGAGTAAGGAGGAGGAGATGCTAAGTTGTAAGATTGTTGCTTTGATTTGGAAAAAGGTACATTGAAGTCGGTTTGTGTCTATAATTTTGGACCTAATTTTATTTTATTACCAAAAATGTAGAATGTATTGGATGACAGGCTTTTTGCTTTCTGGGATTCCCATGTGGACACCTCATAGTTGGGTACAAGGAGGGACATCCTAATAATTGCAGATTCATTAATAATACAACTTGGAAAAATGGTATCACCAAAAGAATATTATTATTTTGTACGCATTTTTAATTCCCGCTCATTAAACGTATGTATATCCAATACTAGCAATTATGCATTGACTCGAGTCAAAAAAACGAATATTGTAATCTAATACCGTGAATTTGTTTTGTTTAATTCCAAAAGATAATCATGAAAATGGAGGAGGTTAAATAAAAGAATAAAGAAAAATGATAAGTATAGTAAACCTTCTATGTTTTGATTTTATTAGAAAATGAAAATAAAAAAAGAAATAGAAATTGTAGTTCAATTTTTTTAGATCAATTAGAGAATAATATATCAAGAACAAAAAAGTAAAATATAACAATAGTGAAATTTAATTCCACACAAGAGTTCATATTTATACTACATAAAGATAGAGATGACAAGTCTTATTATTAAACGTGTACAAATAAGGCACTATGATGTCAATTATAACATTGTCAGAAAAATAGTTGATTGGGGATATGATTCAACCGTTCAAATAATATACAATTCAAACACTAATAAGTTGGTACAAACAGTGAAATGGATATGAAGATAATCAAAATGTAGTGTTGAGTACACATTTATATTATTTTTAATATGTCGATACTATGATACTTTGTAAACGGGTTATGTGGCATTTTTTGATAAATTCATAAGGTTTGCCAATCATGTGAATGAAATTGCTCTAAATGACTAAGGTGGTTTATGTCATCAATGTTGTATGCATAAATCAATTAGTTTGACTCTTGCAAGCAAATTTGTGTTGATTGACATATATCTTAATTATAATGGGGTACATAACGATATTTCAAAATACTAATTCTTTGGACTATGAAATGGTGCATATTGTTTAGGTAGCTAAGTTGAATTATTCTATAATCATATTATATTTAAAATAAGAATATTATATATGTCAACCAAGGTTATGTTTCTAGTTTTTTTTTTTTTTTTTTTTTTTTTTTTTGGTGGTATAACAAAGGTATGCATTACAGTTCAAAAGTTGTACAATTCATTTTTGTTGGATAAATTTGTCCTTATTACATTTTGTTGGCAAAATTATCCTTATATTATTATATAACTCTGGTATTATTGAATAAATTAACTCAATCACTAACCAACTTGGTTGCCATGAGTCGTTATGCACTCGACTCAATCACTATTATCATACATTTATTATATCCTTTTCCCCTTCTTTAATTATTATTTTATTAAAATTATCATATAACAAGTAATTTAGTTGTATATATTATATTTTAATTAAGGAAAATACTGGCTTGGGCAATCCACGGACAGTTCAGGAGGTGGTGGATTTAGTGTCCAAAAAGAAGCCCGAGTTCGTGTTTTTGATGGAAACTATGGTGGACAGGAGTCATGCAGAGAGGCTACGGGTAAGATTGGGTTTTGATGGTTGTTTTGCGGTGGATAGTGATGGACAAAGAGGGGGATTGTGTTTTTTATGGGCCAGGAATAATGGGACACGTTTGATTAAATATTCGTCTAATCATATTGATTTGGAGATTTCTTTGCCTGATAAGCCGTTGTGGAGGTTGACTTGTTATTACGGGTATCCTCAGAGGGATAGGAGGAGGGTTGCATGGGATTTTCTACGTTCACTCAAGGGGGTTTCTGACTTGCCGTGGGTGGTTGTGGGGGATTTCAATGATTTATTGATGCAGTCAGAGAAAAGGGGGAGGCGGCCGCATCCTGTTGGATTGATTGAGGGGTTTGCTGAGGCTTTGGACGATTGTGGTTTGATGACACTGCATATGATTGGGTATCCTTACACGTGAGAGCGTGGTAAAGGGACTGCTCGCTGGGTAGAGGAGCGTCTGGATAGGGTGGTGGCGAATATGGACTGGTTACAGACTAATGATAGGGCGAGGGTCTATAATATTCGGACTGACTCGTCGGATCATTCTGCTTTGTTTCTGGATATAAGAGGGGCGGATCATGTGGTGAGGCCCCGGGGTTTCCGGTTTGAGAATGCATGGCTGCTGGATGGAGGTTGCAGGGAGGTAGTGGAGAGGGAGTGGTCTAATTCACCGGGTTTGGCTTTGCAGGCTAGGCTTGGCATGTGTGGCCGGGGTTTGAGGAGGTGGGGTGGTGATCGCCATCATAAGTATGGGAAACGGGCTAAAGGGATTAGAAAGGAGATGAATGCTTTACGGGGCAGTCGAGATCCAGCTTCTTTGGCACGGTTTAGGCAACTAGATGAGCATTTGAGTGTGGTACTAGCTCAGGAGGAGGTTTTCTGGAGGCAGCGTGCTAATCAGCACTGGCTTCAGGGGGCTGACAGGAATACTAAGTTCTTTCACAAGTATGCCTCGTACCGGAAGAAGAAAAATGTGATCCAGAGACTCAAGGACGGGGGTGGTGTTTGGAGGGAGGGCAGTGCCCTGGAGGCAGTGGTCACAAACCTAGGACAGCAAACTAAAACAAACTTTCTAAAACCCTGTCCCTCAACAATCCTAAAAGGAAGTTCATCTAAAATAATCATCTCAGCTAAGGCTCTCCTTATCAAGTCTTGATCAAACACCCAAGTACCCAACACCCCTTCAGTTCCTTCACTACTTTGAGTTCCAGCAGAAGAAGGTGCAGGTTGGAATGTGAGTAGGGACTGCCTTGTCTCCTTAGAGTGAGGATTTTTAAGGCAGTTTACCACATGAAGTCTGAGAGAAGTCCCATGTTTCTTGGTCTCACAACAATACACTTTTGCACAATATATACATTTTCCTTTGATGACAATGCCCTCACTGTCTTTGATCTTTTCAAAGTGATCCCAACATGGAGCTCTGGATTCAACCTCTTTCCTTTTCTTTGGAACAGGTGGAGGTAAAGGCTGCTGAGACTGAGGAGTAACAGTCTCTACAGCAGGTGCTTCCAACTCAGGTTGGGTTCCAGATACACCAGTAACACCACTAACACTTTCCATCTAAAAAGGGGAAAGTATCAGTGACACAGAATGGGAAATCACTCATTGAAAATCATCAACAGAGAATGGGCTTTGTCACATACACACATGTATCAATTAAAGTGTTAAACAGGCAGAATTCAGTGAATTGAACATTTCATCATGTATGCAGAATTGCACATAAATGATTTAAGGGTCACATATCCATAAACTTACAACTTACAAATTACAATTTACAATGAAATCCATAATCAGGCATTCAAGCTAAGTAGGTGTATGCTACTTTATATGCTCATCATTTATATGGATTTCAGTCACACACTACCACATTTATATGGATTTCAGTCACACATGAGTACAAGACACACTCCCACATTTATATGGCTTCCACACAAATACCATCATGCTTAACATTTATATGGATTTCAGTATTTAACACACAGTGGCAAGGGGCTAGGGTAGTATGGCTTCCACCACAGATTAGGTTACAAATTAGAAACCCTAATCAAACAATTCACAAATTTACACTCAAAGAACTACTGACACGCAATCCGGAACTTCTCAACGGATTTACAAGTATCATAGTCCAGTGAGTCCACAGATTAGGTTACAAATTAGAAACCCTAATCAAACAATTCACAAATTCACACTCAAAGAACTACTGACATGCAATCCAGAACTTCTCAACGGATTTACAAGTATCATAGTCCAGTGAGTCCACATATTTACGTTACAAATTAGAAACCCTAATCACACAATTCACAAATTCAAACTCAAAGGACTAGTGACATGCAATCCGGAACTTCTCAACGGATTTACAAGTATCACAGTCCAAATAATCATAAAAATTAGAAACCCTAATCAAGAAGACAAATACACAATAATCTATAACGAAAATGTAAATAGGGTTCAGTAATTACTTCGTTTCTCAGATTTAATCCCTCGAGAACAAAGGGCTTCGAATCCACTATTCCACCGTTCAACAGTTCCACCAGACTCCGGTGACCAGACTAGGGTCTAGGGCTTCCACCGTTCCACCACTCCGCCAGTCGCTACTCCGAGTCTCCGAATAGGGCTTCCACCAGACTAACAAACAGAGACTAAGACTCTCAGAGTCTTAGAGAGTAAGACACTAAGAGTCTAAGACTCAAAGTCTCAAAGACCAGAGCGAAAGAGAGAACGAGAGATGAGAGATGAGAGATGAGAGATTGAGAGAAGTCTAGAAGAGTCAAGAGTGAACTGAGAGCTCGGCTGCGCTCAATGAAATGAGTAATATATATACATACACCAAACGACATCGTATTATATAGCGGAAAAAAACCCTAGGGTTTTATCGGGTAATCGGACGGGTTTGGGTGGCGTTTACTGCCTCCCACCCGAACCCCTTGCATCCGTCTAATAGCGTAGCGTCGGATCCGGTTGGGTATTCGGATACGGTTCGCTCCACGGACTCGCCCGTCGGGTTTCGGGTGGGTCGGGTTTTTCGGGTTTTGCACACCCCTAACAATGCTTATAATGAGTGTCAAGCAAGTGGAGACTACTAAAAGCACGTACACCAATACTTAATAGCACTATCAAGCATCTTATAAGTTGAGTTCCATCTAGTGGGCACGTCTGTTGACAAACCAACTTTAAGTTGAAGACCAACTGTCTCAACACATTCTTGAAACACTTTCATCCTCCCCCGACCCTTTAACATATTTCACACTATCTCTAATTTTATTCAAAGCATCCCCCATCACTTTCAACCCATCTTGCACAATAAAATTCAATATATGTGCCGAACATCTCGTATGAAAAAATTTCCCATTAGACAACAAATTATTTTGCAAACAAAGTTGTCCTTTCAAGATATTTTGCATAGTATCGTTAGCAGAAGCATTATCCAAAGTAAGAGAAGACAATTTTTTCTCTACTCCCCACTCTTCCAAACATTCTAGAAGCTTCTTATTTAACTGAATTCCAGTATGTGGGGGAGACATAGCACAAAAGGATAATATCTTATTATTTAACTTCCAATTACTATCAATATAATGAGCAGTTAAACAAATATATCCCTCAACTGTGCATGTTGTCCGATCCAAAGATCAGAAGTCAAGCAAATTCTACTAGAAATTCTTTTCAAGTTACTCTTCAGTTTCTCTTTTTCTTTCTCATAAAACTTATAAACATCTGCTGCTGCTGTATGCCTACTTATGAATTTGCAATCAGAATTCAAATACTTGTACAACTCTCTAATTCTCTTATATTCAACAAAAGAATACGGCAAATCATGTCCAATGATGCTCATGCTTATCATTTCACGAACCACATTATGATCAATTTTTTTAGCAAGCAACTTTCCTTCATGATCAATTAACATAGAACCCACATCATTATATTTAGGCTTTACTTTACAAGAAGTCCATGTACTATTGTGTTTTTTTCAATTTAATCCTTATACCTTTATTTTGTTCAATTTAGTCCTTGTACTTAAAAAAATGATACAATTAAGGACAATAGTTAACGGTGATTATGTGGCGTTGACATCATCATTGTCACATCATGATATTAATATTCCTACTCATATATTACTTTATAATTAATTATTTTACTACCAATATATTAAACTAGTATGTCCAAAATAAATAATTACAACCATATTCCTAATGAGATTTGGACACTTTATGTCATCATGCTTGTAATTATTTATTTTGGACATATTAATGAATATATTAATGGTAAAAATAATTAATTTTAAATATTTATAAAATAATATATGAGTTGGAATATAAATTAAAATATCATGATGTCAGTGCCACGTAAGCTAAGTTAACGGTAATATTAACACCGTTATCGGTTGTCCTTAATTTAATTACTTTTTAAAGTAGTGGGATTAAATTGAACAGAATAAAAGTACAATGATTAAATTGAACAAAACACTATAGTACATGGACTTCAGAAGTATTTTGACCGAGAATATTACATGGACTCCCATTTCTTACTTTAAAGTTTTATTCCCTCTCACAAGTTTTAAGTTTTTGATGTAGACACTTATTTTGGGACCCACATGATAAAATATCAAATCCTTACTTGTGAGTAAAAGTGAAAAATATAATTTTGGAGTACATATAGTATAAGTCTTGTATGTATGTACATTTGCAATGTGTTAATGAAAAAATAAATAATAAATAAATGAAAATCAAGAAAGGCGTCCCCATTGTGTTTATTCGCGGAAGGAGAAGAGAATATTCATATTTCATATTCATTACTGTTGAATCATGAGCTCTATATCTCCGCCGGCACAACCGTCAAATGCCACGACGATCTTCGGCCCCCTCTCTCGGTTGGACATACCGACAAAACCTTCCAGCACGTTCTACATCTCACATTATTCTTCTTCTTCCCCAAAAAAGCCCCGCCTTTTTTCACAGCCATTCTGGTCCGCACACATATAAAGCGGGCTGGGACTCGCCTTTCCGAGCTCTTGCTATCCTAAATAGCCCTACCCAGATCACAATTTCCAACAATTTTCAGTACCCAGATTCCGTTTTCTTCTCAATTATACACATTTCTTCCGTTTACTGATATCTAGGGTAGTTTGTTTGGTTATTGAATTGGTAGAAACGATGTCCCAGAACATTCTTTTGACTGGGGGAGCAGGCTATATTGGGAGCCACACTGTGTTGCAATTGCTGCTGTCTGGCTACAAGATTGTTGTGATTGATAATTTGGATAATTCTTCTGCTGTTGCCATCAAACGAGTTCAGGAGCTTGCCGGCCGACACGGCCACAATCTTGAGTTTCAACAGGTGGTTTTTCTTTTGTGTTTCTCCTTTGGTTATTCAATTTGTTTATGTGAATATTGAGTTTTTAAAGTGTTATTATGCCTGGAAAATGTTCAATTAATACCCCTGTAATCTTGGAGAGGTAAAATTGAAGGGGGAGAATTTTTAACTTCCTCTTATGATTCGGGATCTTGCGATTCCATGTGGTTTTTGCTTTTTCTTTTAGTGAATGTTTGATGAATTTATCTCACTTCTATATGAACCAATAGGAATTAAGAATAAGTTAATTTTCATATAGAATTTCCAAGTGGAGTTTGCAGCTGTTTTTAAAAGAAAATTTTCTCTTTTGGAATTAAAGAATCTGATGAATGTTTCATTTTGAATTTAACTGCAGATGGATCTCCGTGACAAGCCTGCACTTGAAAGTCTTTTTTCCTCTAAGAAGTTAGTTCCTATACTGATTGATTGATTGATTCTGGTTTCCATTTATTTCGGGTATTGGAAATTTTAAAGAAACATAGCGGCATAGTCATTCCAAGTGCATTCTCTTGCCCACAAAAGTCGAAATTCTCTAGCTCTAGGTCCTCACAACCCGACACCACAAGATAGTGGAGGGGTAACCCAGCCAAGATGGCTAAAGGATACAAACTTGTAATCACAGTCACCGAGTCATGAGTTCGAATCCCGGCTCTATTGGTCTGAGCTGGTCAGCTATGGGCAACCTAGGCTGGTTTACCTTGCCAATTAGGGTCACAAGGCACAGTTTACCCAGTGCACACGTTCGGATAGTGGTAGCGGGTAAGAGATAGTGGAGGGATAAATCACAGAAGCAGCCCATTAGGCGAGAGGA